GACTGAGGTAGAAATCAGCTGTGGTCTGGGACCCTAAGGGTGGAAATGCCACCTACCGAAGCTTGCTGGCCAATCAGAGCTGGCTGCTCTTTTGAATGGTAGTGTACACTGGAGAGGTGGAGGCTGCTTTCTGTATGACAGCCAATGGAGACCCAGGCTTGAGGAATGACCCAGGCCACCAGTCAGTTATGACAGGGGGGACTTTGTGGATTGGGGGTATCATGATGAGAGGGGTGTAGCAGGCTGGTTTAAGGCTGGGGTCTGTCTGTCACCAGCATCCCACCCCCTTTTTTGATATCTCGTCTCTCAATCATACACTGTGTGCCTTTGAAATCACTCCTACCCTAGCACTGGAGTAATTTACTTATTATTAATTGCCCACTGAAGGGTTTGAATAAGGGGTAATGACTAATGCTATGCTAGTGAAACACAGCATACATTATTGTATATGGAGTTAGGCTCTGAAAGGATTAATACTGAGGATTGCATTGGCCCCCATCCAATATGATATTCTCATATGGACTTGGACAGTAGAACAGCTGGTGGTGAAGGAAATGAAACTTGAAGGTCTCCCTCATGGTTCTTGGTAGCATTGTCTATCACACCAATGTAACTTGTCACATTGATTGCTGTCATGTAACAAACTACATCTTGTTTAAGACAAGTGCCTCTTGTCATTCAGCCTCCAAGTGGCTTTTCTCCAACACGAGACCAGTCAGACCCCTTAGCTCCAAAATCCAAAAGGACCAAGGTGTCAGCAAATCCTCAAAGTGACTGAGCAGAGGATCATGCAAAGTAAATCATCACAGGAAGTGATCTAATATCACACGATCTTGCTCCCTCCCACAGCTCTGTTGCAAGGTGAAGCCAAAGTCAGGTGCTCCTTACTTCAGAATCTGCAAGTCAATCCACAATTATGGGGTGGCACAGTGGTTAGCACTGCTGCCTTACAGCACCAGCAACCTGGGTTCAATTCCACCCTCAGGCAACTGTCTGTGTGGTGTTTGCACATTCTTCCTGTGTTTGTGTGGGTTTCCTCTGGGTGTGCCAGTTTCCTCCCACAGTCCAAAAGATGGGTAGGTTAGGGTGGATTGGCTGTGCTATAGTGGGTTGGTGTGGACTTGTTGGGCCAAAGGGCCTGTTTCCACACTGTAGGGATTCTATGATACAAATAATCTTTAGCGGCCCAATGAGAGCTGAGAATATTTTATGATTGGCAGTGGGGTAGGAAGTCTAACGAGGTACCTTCCCACCTCTGGCCTAATTTGGGAAGTGATTGTGTGGTGATATTGTTGCTAGTCTAGCAATCCAGAGACTGGAGGACCCAGATCAAATCCCACCACGGAACGGAATTAAAAGTCTAATGATGACCATGAAAGGATTGTTCTAAGTATCCATCTGGTTCTGTAAACACCGTTAGGAAAGGAAATCTGCCATCCTTACCTTGTCTGGCCTCCATGTGACTTCAGACCCACATCAATGTGGTTGGTTCTTAACTATCCTCTGAAATGGCGTAGCAAGCATTTCAGTTCTCAAAAATAGAACCTATACAAAATACAGACTGTGGTGGATCAAGAAAGTAGCTCTCCATCACAATCTTCTCCAGGGCAGTTAGGGATGGCCCAGTCTGTGATGCCCAACTCTGTGAGTGACTTTTTAAAAAAATTCTGGAGGAGGTGGGAAAATGGCAGTGTTTTGTTACTCAGGAAGGGTCATCGGACCCAAAACGTTAACACTGTTTCTTCTCTTCACAGATGCTGCAACAACCTGCTGAGCCTTTCCAGCAACTTTGTTTTTGTTCCTGATTTACAGCATCTGCAGTTCTTTCGGCTTTTTAAAAAGTCTGATCTGAAAGACAGCACTTCCAACTCCAACAGTACCACACAGGAACATTCAGCTGCTGGAGCGTGACTTTGAACACAGGACCTTCTGACTGATTATGAGAGCACCGCATTGAGTCAAGACCAGTACCATTTTAGTTTCTGAATTATGGAGAACTGAAGTGTTCACTAGCTAGAGTTGGTCTTGATGGTAAATTATCCCTTGGCTCTTAGAGAGAGAGCACCAATTGACATTACTAGTTAGATGCAGGTGTAAAGTGAGTATGGAGAGAGAGAAAGATTGAGAGGATGTGTGAATGCATGTGAAACACTGTTAGAACATTTATGAGTGTGAGTAGTGTGTGAAAGACTGGGTGTGTTCGAGAGTATGGGCAAGAGAAGATGTGAGAGAGTGTGGGAAAACGTGTGAGTGTCTGTGAGGGTGTATGAGTACTTGAGTATGTGTGTGTGTTTGTAAATGTGAGTGAGAGATTTAATGTGTGTGTTTACGAGGATGATTTTATGTTTGTGATTGTGAGTATGAGTGTGTCTCCAAGTGTGTGTCAGTGAATGGGTGTGTGTGTGTGTGTGTGTGTGTGTGTGTGTGTAAGGTAATTTAGGAACTGGATGAGGAGTGGCTGTGAAGACTGCTGCGGTGGAATAGCTGACTACCAGACCATGTGAATGAGACGATGCTGGAAGAACCTGTTTACCATCGCAACAACAACTGCCCCTCACCTCCCTATCCACCCTGAAGGATGGGGGAGGGGGAACGGGAAGTGGTTTAGGGTGGACCACAAGGACAGGTCAGCTGTAACCAAGGAAACCATGTTGGACTTCAAACAGCCAGGGGCAGCTGAAGGGTCCCCAGTGCAGTTATGACCCGAACCCTAAACAAACCCTTGTAACCCAAACCCTAATTAACCCTAAATACACTTAATCCCAAACAGCACTAACCCTAGTAAACCTATATAATCCTCATCCCATACAAACCCAAATATAATCCTAACCCAAATAAACCCTACTAACCAAAACCCTAAATCTAATCGCCCAAATCCCAATCTGCTTTAACCTGCATTAACTCCAAGAACCCTGACCCAAAACAACAAACTCCAAGTAACCCTAATCCTAATAACTATAACCTGAAACCCTCAAAACCCAAACCCTAATTAATCCCAGTAACACTAACCCAAAATAGTCCTAATCCTAATGAACCCTTGTAAGGCAAACCTTAACACAGCCGAGTCACCCCAATTAACCCTAATCAACTCCAGTAACCCTAACTCTCAATGATCCTTGCCCCATCAAAGCCAAAATAACCCTAATCCTAAATTACCCTAGCCCTAAAACCCTGAGCCCTTTTTAGCCCTAGTAACCCTAACCTTAAATAGCCCTAACCCTAATTAACCATAGTAACCAAACCCTTAAATTACCCTAACCTGAAGAACAGGGAATAACCCTAATCTTAACAAACCCTAGCAACTCAAACCCTGACTAAACCCTACCCCGAGTGATACCCAGTGTCAAACCGCCTCTGTACCTCCCCCTGGAGGAAGTGGGCACTTTCAGGACAATCCAGGAGCCAAAGCAAAACCGCAAAGTATTTTTTTTTTGCTGACAATTATCTTGGAAATTGCAAATGGTCTGTGTAGCCTCTGCTTCCTGTGTGTGTGTGTGTGTGTGTGGTCACGATTTCTATCCTCTTCTATTGTGGTCGCCAGAAATCTCACCCACTCACATTTTTTTGTCTCATTTTGAACTCTCTGTTGCTATGGCTCTGCTATCTATTCAAAGTGACTTTTGTAAAGTTAGTGCAATCATTCCTCCTCCAACCCCCTTCCCCACTCCTCCCGGGGGAGACAAGGCCTACACGCCTTTACTGAAACACTTGGTGAGCAGAAGTAGAACTCTATTGTGTACAAGAAACATTTCCCACTCTTGGCTCCCTGACACCAAGCTCCTTTTAAGGCAATAGTTTCCCTGGTAACCGCCCGGCTTCAATCGCACTGTCAAATCCCAACACACACAGTCACTGACTCCCAGCTCCTATTCCGTTCACCCAAATCGCCCTCGTAACCTCTTGTAGACCTCTCCTCTCCCTCCCTTTCTCCAACTCCCACCCTCCAGTTGGAATTTTTACCTTTTATTTCCAACTTCCCCCTAATCTTTTTCTCTTTCAACCACCTTCTCCCTCCTTCCCTCCAGTTAGGATTTGTTTTCACCCTTTATTTCACCCTCCACTCCCTGTCAGTAACTTTGGCCCAATCTTTTACTTTTTCAACCACCCTCTCTCTCTTCAAACACAACCCCAACCGTCCAGAGTGGATTATTTTTTCTTTTGCCTGGAAAAAGGAGGATTCTTCCCCACTGAGGAAGCGAAAAGGTGAGAGGGTGAGGAAGAGGAGAAGGGAAAATCTTAAGGAAAAGGTGAGGAGTGGGGAGTTTTAAGGAAGGAGGGCAGAGAGAGAGAAGGGGAGAAGGGAAAATCTTTAGGAAAAGGTGAGGAGTCGGGGGTTTTAAGGAAGGAGGGTAGAGAGTGAGAGAGAGAAGGGGAGAAGGGAAAATCTTTAGGAAAAGGTGAGTGGGGAGTTTTAAGGAAGGAGGGTAGAGAAAGAGAGAGAGAAGGGGAGAAGAGAAAATCTTTAGGAAAAGCTGAGGGAGTAGGGGTTTTTAAGGAAGTGGGCCAGAGAGAGAGAGAGAGAGAGGGGAGGGGAGAAGGAAAAATCTTTAGGAAAAGGGGAGGGGGGGGGGGTTTTAAGGAAGGAGGGTAGAGAGAGAAAGAGAGAGAAGGGAAAATCTTTAGGAATAAGTAAGGGACTGGGGGTTTGTAAGGAAGTGGGGAAGAGAGAGGAGGGAAAATCTTTAGGAAAAGGTGAGGGAGTGGGGGTTTGTAAGGAAGTGGGGAAGAGAGAGAGAAGGGAAAATCTTTAGGAAAAGGTGAGGGAGTGGGGGTTTGTAAGGAAGTGGGGAAGAGAGAGAGAGGAGGGAAAATCACCAGAAAACAAACTTTGGGAGTTTGGCGGAGTGTATATATTTTTTTTCCTCTCTGAGTTTATTGTCCGTCCCTGTGTCTGTGTTTTGTTTTCTCTCTCTCTCCCCCCCCCCCCCCAGGCGCCCGGAGGGAGGGGGAGGGGGGATGGCCCTGACCTGGGGGTGAAGTGATTACAGTCGGTGAGGGGGTGGGGGCAGAGAGAGAGAGAGAGCCCTCGGGGGCCGGGGAACCGAACCCCCCGACGCGGCGGCTGTTCTGTTCGCTCTGGAGCACGATGCGGAGGAAGGGGCGGCCAAGCAAAGCTCGGAGACTGTTCCCTGCCTCCGCTGAGACCCTGACCAGACAGGCCTGCAGGAGTGGGAACCTCTTATTCTAATTTCCCTCCCCTTTATATATATAAAAAAGAATCTGTCCCTCTCTCAGACCCCCCTCCTCCTCCAAACTCTCAAGCCTTTTTTGTTTGTGTTTGTCTCCCTTTCTTTGCAAACTCTTTCCCGATCCCTCTCTCCTGGTTAGGGGAGGGAGGGAGGGATTATTCGGGACATGGCTATGACCTCCAGCGACTGGGAAGAATCCCGGGACGAGCCCAAACTCTACCCCCACAACGGCGGCGAGGAGTCCTCAGAGAGCCCGGCTCCCTCGTCCTCGCAGACCGGGGGCAGTGAGCCGGAGTTGGGTGAGCAGGCGGTCCAGGTGGACTGTGTGGTGTGTGGGGACCGGGCCAGTGGCAAACACTATGGCCAGTTCACCTGCGAGGGCTGCAAGAGCTTCTTCAAAAGGAGTATCCGTCGGAATCTCTCCTACACTTGCAGGTCTAACCGGGACTGTCAGATTGACCAGCATCACAGGAACCAGTGCCAATACTGCCGGCTCCGAAAGTGCTTCAAAGTGGGCATGAAGCGAGAAGGTAAGCTCACAGAGAGACGGCAGGAGTGTGTTGGCCTGTGAGCAGTCAGCTCCCTGTCAAACTGGGCTCCGACTTTGCTTCAGTAACATCGCTGCTCATGTGTCCGTCTGTGTTTATGTGTCTTTTGTGTATGGCGTGTTAAGCGACTGGGTGCATTTAAATGAAAACCGAAGGAACTGCGGATGCTGTAAATCAGGAGCAAAAACAGAAGTTGCTGGAAAAGCTCAGCAGGTCTGGCAGCATCTGTGAAGAAAATAAAAATCAGAGTTAACGTTTCGGGTCTGGTGACCCTTCCTCAGAACTTGTTGTTGTTGTGGGTGTATTTACATGTGTGTTTGTACCTGTTTAGGTGGCATCTGTGTGAGTTTGTGTAAGTGAGTCTGTGTGCGCATTTAGGTGTGTGTACTTGTGTAATTATGTGCATCTGCATAAGTGTTAATTGTGAGTGTGGGCATCTAAGTGTTTGTTGTAAATGTGAGCTTCTAAGTGTGTGCGTCTGTGTTGTGTGTTTGGGTAATTATGTGTATGCGCGTCTGTGTGTTTAGCATTTGTAAGTGTGCACATCTGTGCATTTGTGTGTGCATCTATGTAAATGTTTGCATATGTTGTCTACACGTACATTTGAGTGTATTTATGGAAGTGTGTGTTTTTGTGCGCTCGTGTGTAAGCAATTGTGTGTGTGTGTGGGTCCTGTTGTAGGGAGAGGAGGGATTTGGACAATAATGGCCTGTAGTTTGTGTTCCTGATTTGTATCCAGTGCCAGCCCTGTCTCCTCACAGGCTCTGCAGACAGTCAGGAGTGGAGGTAGTCTGGCTCTGTGGCCACCTGCAGTTCACCAGCTATGTGAAACTTTCTCTCTCTCTCCCCCCAAGCTGATTTACAGTAAAGAGACCCCATGGTGGAGGAGAGTCTTCCTCTGATGGCGGGTCTGGAAAGTGATAAAAGGGGAAATTAGAGTGTGCATGGGGAGGCTAGCTGAAGTGTAGATAATAACAGGGGAGACAATGCATGGGGAGTCACTCAGTCTACTACACAACTCGAATACGCCAAACTTTGGAGCTGCTGTGGACAAAGGGTCACACAGCAAGCATGAAAACAGAAATTGCTGGAAATACTCAGCGGGTCAGGCAGATTCTGTGGAGAGAGACAGTTAACATTTTAGCTCAATGGCTTTCATCGTAAAATTTCAGAAGAAAGGCCATCATTGACCTGAAATGTTAATTCTGTTTATTTCTGTATAGAAGCTGCATGATCTGCTGAATATTTCCAGCATTTTGTTTTTATTTTTTCTTGTTTGTAGAATCTGTAGTATTTTGCATTTCTCACACAGTAAGTGAGTGGTTGAACCCCTCTTAAAGGCTTTTCCGCATCCACAAAGCTTGTACAAACACTTGGCACAAGTAGGAATTTGTCTCAGAAAGATGTAGAGACATTAGTGGAGATGTCAGAGTCTGTAGGGTCTTTACAAGATGAATTTGCGGTCAGTAACTGGGCAGTATAGAGGGAACAGCTAAGAGCAAGTCAAACATGGAGTGGACAAATCCTGATTGTGAAAGTTTCGCTTTAAATTGCATAATTTAAAGGAGGACTGAAGATGAATATGTTTAGAGAGCTGGTTCAGATTGTAGAACACTGTTATTTGCAGTGTAACATCATTTTGATTTTAGCACTGTGAAAATTCACCCATTAGACAGCTCTTAAAGTCAAAATTATCTGTCAAGGGTATATAAAAATATATATGTTGTATTTGGATATATTTGATAAGGAAGGAAGGAACATCCCGCATATTAAAGTAAGCAAGTCAATAAGTATTGCGTGGATAACAAAATATCTATAATGTAAAACACACAATAGCTTTAATGCAAAGCTACAAATTCAGGTAGATACCTGGTTTCCGGTCTGGATTGTGCAGGTTTAATTGGGCTGAACTGCTTTTTTCATCAAACTTGATCATTGGCATGACTATATGAGGATTACAAAAATCAAATGTTGCAGCTTTGGTTCCTGGTATGAAGGTTGTGCTTCTTTGCATGTGTGAGTGTCTGTGTGTGCGAGCTTGCATGCACGTGTGTGTGTGTGTGTGTGTGTGTGTGTGTGTGTGTTGTGTCATTGCATACTTGTAAGAGTCTGTGTGTGCCTGTCTGTGCCTAAGTATATCTGTGTGTTCTAGTAACTGTGTATCTCTGTGTGTGGGCATCAGGTGAAGTGAAACCCTGCTTCACAGTGAAGGCCCTCCTAGTTAAATACCATGTCAACATTTCTGCTAAGAAGAATTGCCAGTTGGATAAGGAAGTGGGGGGCAGGTCTCCAAAGAATAATATACAAACAAGATCCCAACGTTCTATATCGATGTTAGATTAGAAGCTTGTTGTTCACTTTGACTTTTGCTACAAGAGAAACTTTTATTTAATAATTATTACTTCAATATTACTATCAATAGTATCTTAAAGTAGATGTATTCAGCTCATTGGGTGGAGTAAACATTTTAGCAGTTATCCACTCCCATACCTGTGCTCATCTTGTGGTTTGCTTTTGTCCTCAGCAAGCTGCGCCATGGTTTAGTTTTCACAGTGTGACACTATTGGGTTTGCACTCCTCACACCCTCATTCAGAAATCTCTCAATAACTAATCTCTGTCCTCTCCCTCCTCCTTTCTCTCTTCATTGCACTCACCTCTGTACTCAATCTGTATTGACCATCAAACCTTACCCTCTCTCCTCTCCTTCTCATTCCTCTCTTTCCATGTAAATTTAATTTTGTCTCTCCCTTGCGTTTGCCTCTCTTTTTTGATTGGAATATCAGCAGTCTTTATTATTAATTTGAATATCTTACTCGTTCCTATATCTGTTCTGTTTATGTTTTCTGGACTTCTCCCAACTTGTCTTTGATCACCTTCATAATTTCTCCTCTTCTCTCTGCTTCTGTTACATCTTTCCTTCTTCCAGGCTGCAGTAGCGTTAGCCCATAGTTGGATTTTTTCACTTTATCTCCATGTTCCATTAACATTTTTTTCTTTCACTCAAATCATTCTGCTCATTCGAAGCCACAAAAGGCGCATCTGAAGCAGCTGAAAATAAAATAAAAATTGATCGTCCCTTTCAGACACAAGCAGGTTTGCACTGGGTCTCCTTCCACCACATGCAATCACAAGCATTTACAGACATACACACACAGAAACACAAACACACACACACACACAGTCAATTTCACGCTCTGATACATATACTCAATTACATACACTGACAAACACAATCACAAGCATTTACACACACACACACTTAAAATCACAAGCATTTACACACACACTCAATCACATGCACTGACACACACTCAATCGCGCGTGATTGACACATAGACTCAACCACACGCACAAAGATGCACTCATCCACATGCACACTCAATCTCACACATGCATGGATTCAATTACTCACAAACTCATACTGAGTCAGGCATACACAGATAGATTCATTCACACACTCAATCACACTCATATATATATATAGAATCACATACATAGACACGTTCAATGACACAAATATCATATAACAGACACACACACTGTCTCTCACTCACTCACAAACTGTGTTGTAACACTGGGTGCATTCACGCCTGCAGAGCTTGATTGTCAGTGTTCCCTGGGGGACCTCAGCTCTCACAGGGGTCAATGTGCCATTGACCTCAGAGCAGCCTGCGCCTGCCCCTCCACCCACGGTCTCCTGGCCAAAATCCAGCCACTAATCTATCAGCCACATGCTTTCTGCGGGAGTGTAAGTTACAGAAAAATTCCTGAGTCCATACTTCACACAGAGCAGTCTGTGTCACAGGCTGTGACCCCTTTCTGTTTAAACTTATTTAAGATGTGGGATTTAGGTTGGACATTAAGTCTGCTGTGCCTTTACTTACTATGGGTAACGGGGAGAGATTCTTCAGCTTGCTCTCAGGAGTCAGCATATTTTAAAGAGGAACGAGTCCAAATGTCATAGGTCACTGCATCACTGCTTCCTTTCTTTCTTTATGTCTCTCGCTTTCCCTTTTACTTTTATTTCTTTCTCTCCCTTATGTTCTCTCTTTCACTTTCATTCTCTCTCTTGCCATTGTATTTTTTTTGTTTTGCTGCCGCACTGTTTTTGTTTTAACATTTTAAACTTGTTTTTATTCTTTCTGTTCTCCCTTCATTGTTGGATTCCTTTCTCAGCTCCTACTCCTCTCACAAGATAAAGAAACTTGATGCCACCTCACCATTCTGGACACAGGACATGTGCCTGCTATTTTGACCTTAAGAGGATTGTTGTAAACTCACACGTCACTGCTGGAGTTTTATATTACATGGGTTTTACGTATGTGGACTTTGCTCAGGCAGAATTAGGAATTACTGACACCTGGATGGACCAGTCTGAAGGTGTTTCTGTTCTCCCATTCTACAATTGTTCCCCCTTCTCTATAAAACTGCTGGGGAAAATTCACTCACATGGTACCTCTTTATTAGATGCTTTCTGCAGGTTAGCACTGCTGTCTCACAGTGTCGGGGGCACAGGTTTGATTCCAGCCTCAGGTGACAGTCTGTGTGGAGTTTGCATGATCTCCCCGTGCCTGCGTGGGTTTCCTCCAGGTGCTCCGGTTTCTTCCCACAGTCCGATGTTATGCAGGTTAGGTGGATTGGCCATGGGAAATTGCTCCGTATTACCCAGGGATGTGCAGGCTAGGTGGATTAGTCATGGGAAATGTGGGGCTATGGGGATGGTGGATGCGGGTATGGGTGGGATGCTCTTCAGAGAGGTGGTACAGACTCAATGGGCCAAATGGCTGTTTTGTGTAGTGTAGGGATTCCATAATTCTCAGTGAGCCCAATAGCTCAAGAGTGTGTTGGTGGACTGTACAAGAAGGGAGCTAGACCAGAAATATCAATGGAGCAATGGGATGAGCTGTGGCTGCCCTGGGACAGTGTTGCTTTACTTTCAGTTTGAGGAGTAAAGTGACTTTACCAAGAATCTAACCCTGTT